TCACCTTATACGCACGTTACGCCGTTATTCCACCGCAATGATTATGAGGACAGTTATGTATGAAATCGTGCCACGTATTCTGTAACAACTATAGCCAAACAAAAATTAATTGTTCGATTCTTAGGCCAATTAAAAAAATGAGGCAGGCACGCGTTTTCTTTTTTTATCGCCCCAAAAAAATCTATGAGGCAGGTATGTTTTTTAATTGGATGGTCTGTAATAAGTACACGCCAATAGCATTGATTCACATTAAATAGAGAATCAGAGCAACCTAAGGGATTTTAAATGGTGCCAAAAAGCATTTTAATACAGGTAATGGTGAGAACTATATGGATCAATCATTTATTTTGCCCTTTTTGCCTTTTTTTTGAAATTTTTTGAACTTTTATAGATTTCCGTATTTCGAATCGCGGGTATTTTTGGGGGATAATAAAAAGGGGTAACCGCATGCGCCTGAACCTAAAAAAGCAAATGCGGCGGAGCCCGAGAAACAAACAATAACTTTTTTGGCCCTATCCCGCGTTCCATGTCCGGCGTTTACAAGAGGATCCTCGCCTAGTCGTGTAGTCGCGTAGGCGAGTAGGCCACTATTAAATTTATATTGTAAACCTTCTAGGCAAGTAAGCGGAGGCGAACCCGAAGCTACTGTGAAAATTACGCTAAACGTGACTTAAGCGTTAGGAAAATACTGGCATGAGGAATAGGATAGAGACATAGGGGAAAGCGGAGCAAGAGTGTGTGTGTGTGTGTGTGTGTGTGTGTGTGTGTGTGTGTGTGTGTGTAGTGCGGTGTGTGTGTGTGGGTGTGTGTGTGTGTGTGTGTGTGTGTTGTGCTGTGTGTGTGTGTGTGATGTGTGTGAAGAGAGAGAGAGAGAGAGATAGACAGTGAGAGAGACGAGAGAGAGAGAGAGAGAGAGAGAGAGAGAGAGAGGAGAGTGTGAAGATTTTCATCATTATGTACGAGCTGTTATCGTTGTGAGCTAGCATACAGGCATCAGTATTGTTGTAGATAAAGCTAACGACGTCCGTTCAAACTGCTGGCTGTTTGCGTGATTATCGCAGTTGGGCGTCGGGTGTGTTCGTCTGTCAACGCGTTATACGCCAACCTTCGTCTTCACAAGATCATGATACGACAGTAAGATAGTTGACGGCCAACCCGGAGGTGGTTGCTGGGGAAGGTGCGCATGGCAAGGTAAGCAGTTGGCAACGTGCCATTTAACGGAAACATTATGGAAACGCGGAAAAAATCCGCCAGCGTCTGTTAAAATAATGCCGCATGATAATAGGAAGTGTCGTGCGTAGACCGGCGTTATCTAATCATAATTACGGGAAGTTAATCATGATTATTGATTTAACTATAATTAAAGTTAATCACGCACCGTGAAACCGGCTCCTGGTGTAATTAGTTGAGATATAGTTGGTGTTTTGTTCTCAAATAATTAAATCTGGAGTAACCTGCTGCACAATGAAGCCCCTTGTTTTTCAAGTATAACAAGAGTTTTGCACATGACATGTATAATCTTCAAGCAGACGCTCTACTGTGGTATAATGTAACACACCGATTGTTTCATTTATGTAGGAGACAATACAGAGCAGAGGTTAATGCTGCTCCATCCACTTCACAGGCTATATAAGCTACGGATGTTGGAATTCAAGGGGCAACAGTAGAAAATGACAAGGATCTTTCGCATTTTCTTCTGGCCTAATGTGGTGAAGCGTTTTTGTAGCATTTGTTGTCATACGTTTTTTGTAAATAAATTTGTGCGAATTGTGTAAACTGATGGTGAAACACACGAAGTATAATGATGTTTTCACTGCTTGATGCCTCATCGAACTGTTTGTGCTTTTTGTTTCGTGAAACAAAGTGACATGTCAAACAACTGAATGTGTTTTTTACGCAAATAAGTGAACAGAGTTGAACGAAACAAAATTGCACAGAAAAAGCTTGTTTTTATTTTTAACGGATTATTTGCATTTAATTCGCGCCAAAATCGGATCTCATAAATCAAATTAATGGTGAACCAGGTTATTTGAACTATTGCTTCATTACTTCATTGAATCTAGAATCCATTCATGCATGATACCGACGGCAGTAATTAAAGGTAAGCGGTCAAGGCGCCGTTTGCGTCAGACGCGACAAAGTGTTAAACGACTTAAAGTACTTAAGGTGACTACGCGTGGCGACGGCTATCCATGATCCATTTGTAAGTAGTAGGTAAAGCGGCGTAATACCGCGGAAAGCCGGTAGCCTGGCAAAGCCCACGAACGCGACAAGGATGGGACGTCCCTACCCAGGAGTTGCGATGCGTTCTTCCGGTGCACCCAAAGTGGGCCGGGACCGCGTCACCCTGAAGAGAGTCGAAAGACAAGTGAACGCTTCGTCAGGAGATGCATGATGAGCTTCCGGTCTTGTATCGAGGCGTATGCAACACAAAGTAGTAGGGTGTAGCAGTTAGTGTAAGCACACAAGCGTAGAAGTTTGTGTGGAATTCATTGAAAGAGCCATGAAAAGCCTGGTGGGCGCATGAAAAGGCAATTCAAGTAGGTAGTTATTCAACGCGCGGAATAGAAAGAATTATGCATCATATACTCGATGGTCACTCAATCTCGGGTCTCTCAGACTGCGTTCACGTTAGACTAGATGGTCAGCTTACACTGCATGTTGTCTCCTTTCCCTGTCGGAGGCAGATCATTCCCGCTGGCTGGGACAAAGGATCCGTAAAATAAGGCTTGGCTAAGGCCTCACGCGAAGAGACGATCACCCTGATACAGGCCTATCAAGAGGACGGGGATGTGGGTCCTATCTGTAAACATGCAAAGGAATGTAATTTAGGAGCTTCATGATGTCAGTGCAATGCGAGCAGTTTAACCCTTGCAAACCAATTTGGTCTTAAATAGAAATAAAACACAAATCACGAAAGGAAATGCAAAAAGAAAAATATTTGAATTTTCATGGCATTCGCATGTGGTGCTCCCCGCAGAGAAGAGAGAGAGAAGAGAGAGAGAGAAGAAATACAGAAAGAAGAGAGAGAGCGAGAAGAAGAGAGAGAGAGAGAGAGAAGGGGAGAGAGGAGAGAGGAGAGAGAGAGAGGAAGAAAGTGAGGAGAGAGAGAGCATGAGAATATAGGGAGAAAGAGACAGAAAGACGGCGAGGGCCGAGAGAAGAGAGAGAGAGAGAGACAGAGAGAGACGACGAGAGAAGAGAGAGAAGAGGAGGAGGCCAGAGACAGACGCGAGAAGAAGATATATATATATATATAGAGAGAGAGGAGAAGAGAGAGAAGAGAGAGAGTACAGAGACGAGAGACTGGGACAGAGGAGAAAAGAGTGACTGACAGAGGAGGAAAAAGAGTAGAGCGGGAAAAGAGGAGAGAGAGAGGGAAGAGAGAGGAGAGACGAGAAGAGAGAGAGAGGAGAGGAGGAGAGTGACGGAGAGAGGAGGAATAAGAAGGAGAGCCAGAGCAGACAGAGAAACGTAGAGAGAGAGGGAGAGGAGAGAGAGGAGAGAGAAGGAAGAGAGAAGGGGGGTGTCATACATATGAAGAAGAGAGGCGGGGGAGGAGAAAAGGAGAGGCCAGAGAGGGGAAAGGGGAGGGGGGTAGCCTAACACATGAAGAGGAAAGGCGAGAGAGGGAGAGAATGGTGGGGGGAAGCGAGAGCGAGAGAGGCAAAGAAGAGAGAGAGAGAAGAGAGAGAGGGAAGAGGGAGAAAAGAGGAGGGGTAACTACACATGAAGAGAGGAGCGAGAGAATGGTGAGGGGAGCGAGAGGGCGAGAGAAGAGCGAAGAGAATGTAAGGGGGGAGCGAGGCGAGAGAGAGAGAGAGACGAGAGAGAGAGAGGAGAGAAGAGAAGAGAAGGGAGAAGAAAGAGTCCGAATGAAGTCAAGGATGAGAGCAGCAGCGCGCCAAGAGAATAGCAAATCTAAACTTAATTATAGGCTTAGTGACTCCCGAATCCCAGATGTAGTATGACGGCCAGTCCCACGTACTTATCGGCATCGTTTGCTAAGGCCAATGGTGATGGGCTTGAACGTGTTGGTGAAACACCATGGCTCATTAAGCTCGAGGCGCAAACGTCATTGTAGATGTCGCTCTCGCTGGGTATGGCCTCGTGTTTTATGATGCGAGTTATCTAGAGTGAAAAAGATATTTGAATTTCCTTTAGACATCTGTACACACCCCCCCCAGGCCAACACGCACAGCGCGGTACGTACAACCTCCCCCGGCCGCACGCGACGCACGACATATTCTACACAATCAGACAGTCACGCGCAACGCGACCTACGCAAAGTAGTAACGTTTACTTTACGTATCTCGTTATTCCGCCCGCTGTTCTGATTCAGTGTTTCCGAATGCGAACGGAGTATAATCCGGTTGATCCTCGTCTTGTAATCCAATGAAAATGAAATAAGTCGTGAAGGGTAATTTATCAATGGTATTTTTCACGAGTTTCATGATTATGTAAGCGCATAAACTATAATGAATGAAATAATTATAAAATAATTATATATATTAACGTAATAACATGACGCGTAAGTTTCATATGCTGATTCGGACTGTTCTTTCGGCAGCGAATGTAAGCCGCGCAGCACGAACTCCACACGCATGAACCCACACGCACGCGCATACCGTGCATATACATTCAACGCGTACGCACGCACAGCAATTGGAAGACAAG